ACCAACCTGGATTTTACAAGCGCTTGAAACAAGCACAGGGTTAGACTGATGGCTACTCTCTCATCAGGACTAGTGTATAATTTCCTCACTGGCAGAACACAATAAAAGCAGTAATACTAGTTTCATTTTGTTCTCAGACCATCTCTAAAATACTAAAAACAAAAACACTGACACCCTCACCAGAGACTTCATAAATAACCCCCTAAGGGATTTCAATTTAGAGTTAAATTGGGTCTTAATAAATGTATGTCTACTGATTATTTAATCTGATCAGAGGGGTTAAATTCCTTGTGAATTTGACTCTAAAAGAAAATGGCATGGAAATGAACTTTTTATTCCTGAGGAATAAAAACAATCCAAGTCAAATAGAGTTTGCAGACCATCTGCCAGGACCATTCATTAGTTTCACAGTGGACCACAACATCTATTCCGAAAGCAGCACGAAATACTGAAGTGAGCTGATGTGTCCTGCAAGCTATCTACAAAACCCTCTAGTTCTTCCCCCTACCTCTTTAACAGACCAGCTGAATGAGAAGTTATAGCCTTAAGACTGTATGTGACGGATCACATGCTGAAAAGTGACTCACTTTTAGCAGAAGAAAAAGACCTAAGAATCTTCCTTTCTGTGAGGAAGACTGTGATTTCTCACTTGTAAACCTGCTATTTTGAATATACACACAGTTTTTAACCTGCAAGTAAATATATCAAATATTAGGTACTACCTACCAGCTATTCCTCAGAAGGAAGACTGGGCAATCTACTTCCGTAGAGATACTGCCGCAGAAATCCAAGGAGGGGTCTCTATGAGTCCAAAATGACTATGGCAATGAGTTTGGGTTTTTTTTTTTTTTCTTGGTATTCAATAAAGGTCAGGATATAAGAGCATAATGCAAATTTGTCTAGGTCACATTGCTGATCTATGTTTTACTCCTTCACACTAATGGTATTATTGTTTACTAACCACTTAGAAAGGTGAGGACCTCTGGTGGTGCAGTGCCTAAGGAATACGACTGCTAAGCAGAAGGTTGGCAGTTCAAACCCACCAGCCACTCTGCAGAAGGAAGACCGAGCAATCTATTTCCATAAAGATTTACCACCTCGGAAATCCAATGGGGTTACTATGAGTCAGAATCGACTCAATGGTTTGGTTGGTTTCTGGTTTAGGATAACCAAGGCATTGTGCTAAGCCCTTTATGTGTATGATCTCATTTAATCTTCACATCAAGTTAGAGGTAGGTACTATCATCATTCTCATCTAAAGTTAAAAAAAATCAAGGCTGGGGTTTAATTTGTACAATATCACACAATTATTGAGAACACCAGGATTAAAGGCTAGGTGTCTCGGGGCTCAAGTCTGGGCTGTTCCCCACCACGGTATTCTGTCACTTACAATGTGACAGACATTTACTACACAGATCATGTCAATGTTGAATGTGGTCAGATTCTTTTTCATTTAAGGACTTAGACTGAAATTGCAAATTACATGTATTTGCTCAACATGCTAGAATAAAGAATGAAAAACCCACAAGAAGCACAAAGACGACCAAGTTTCCTGAATGAAGAGGAGTTTTGTCCCCCAGTTACCCAAGCTGTTTTTGCTTTGAACAAATTTCCTGAACAGATAGAAGAAACGTAGCCTCATTCTATCTTGATTTCATAACAATACAGAATAGTCTATGGCAAGTTAAAAACCTTCAGTCACATGCAGAGTAAAAAATCAAAGCACTTTTAAAATTCAAACACTAGACATTATCTCCACTTGACGACTAGGAAAGACAACTTTCATTCAGGGAGAAAGAAAAAAAAAAAAAACAGTAAGTATTTAGTCTCAAATTTCTGCCTCTGAAGAGTTGGGTTCCTTTCAAAGGCAGAAATCTGGGAAGCCATCTTGGCCCTGGCTTCTGCCTCTGGGCACACTACCCTGCTGGCTGCACTAGTGCCCGAGGCACTGCACCCCAGCATGCAAGCACTCACCTTTGTTATATCTGAACTAACTAACGTCTCCAAAACCCATGCTGCACAGGTCAGTCAAGACAAAGGTGTGTCCTATAGGACACCAAGCAACCACTTACTACATTTTTTTTTAATTTTATGCTTTGAAAAGGCTCTAAAAACCGAGAGAAGCTTGGTGAAAGAACATGAAGCTGAAGGCTGACAGTAACACTTTATTGATTTTTCAGCATTCATTTTAAATGAGTCACATTTTGGCAAAACCGATGTCGTCTTACTCTCCTGATGCAGGAGCCTGAGACGTTTTCTGTGAGCAGCAGAGAAACCATTTTCCAAGGAGGAAGAGCTTCTGTGATGAAATGTCCACACACCGTAGGATCTTAAGATAAATTTTTCTATTCAAATAGGGATTCAACAAACAACAGTCCTGCACTAGGCTCATCAATACTAATACACGTTTGCACTGGATAAGAGTTTAAAATATAGGGAGTATCTAGCTAGCTCATTTTTCAGGTGTTACTTTCCAGCTATTTATTAGGTTTGATGATGATTCAGCTACTTGGCAAGGAATATTACACACCAGGCACTGTTCTAACTATCAAAGTGCCTACAGCTGATCTAAGACATAAAAATTCTGTTAACAAAATGTTACTAAGAAATCATGGGTAAACAATGAGGTAGTTAACAGTATTGGGAAAATATAATGAAAATCCATGTACTTGGGGCAACAACTTAAAAATAAAAATTCTGTTACTTTCTGTAAGACATAATTTCAGCATCCTTTCCAAGATCATGAAGAGTGCAAAAAATTATAAAAAAACAAGCTAGGTAAAACTAGTAATAATAATACTAAAAAAACTCTGACCAAACCAATACCAAATCCATTGCCATCAAGACAATTCCAACTCATATGGACCCTATGGGACAGAATAGAACTGCTCCACAGGGTTTCCAAGGCTGTAAATCTTTATACAGGCAGACCTCCTTCTCCATAGGAGTGTCTAGTGGGTTCCAACCGCCGACCTTTCAGCTTAATCAAGTGCTTAACCAGTGTGCCACCAGGGTTCCTATAAAAATTATGACGAGAATAAATGACATCAGAAACATAAACCAAACACATTATACATTATATATACATTTCCAATTTAGGATTTGCTTGGGGGGTGGGTGTGTGTGTGTGTGTGTACAAAATACTTCCATTTCATTGGACTATCAAGGTAGCCAATTCTTCCATACAGTACATTTCAAGGAAACAAGCTGATTCTCACATGATTTCACCACTGGGCTGCAAACGTTGGGACTCAATTTTAATGCCTGCTAACTAGAATGTCTCCTCAACATGTACCACTGGTCTTAATCTTGAGCAGTGAGGACCAATTCCTAAAGCTTAGGTTCTACACACATACTGAGAAATCAGGAAGAATCAAAAGGTATGCTGCACAAAAGGGCCAAAGAGTAAGCAGTGACAAGTGATAGAAGCCAAAACGCCAAGCTGCAAGCTACACGGGCGCTGCTCTCCTTCTGGATCTCTGCCCAGAACACAAAAATCCGGAGGACAAACGCTGGCGGTTTGAAGGAAACAAGGGTTCCAAAGGTGCTGCCTCATTCCCTGGACACCTCACCCGGACCTGCAGAAGCTTCCTCCGCCCCAATCTGTTTCTCCTGAAAGGACCATGGCCGCTTTTGGAAAATCCAGGAGGGCCCTAACGCTCTTAAACAGGTGGAAACCTATGAGCAACACGCAGAGAAGCTACCTCAAGCTAAGATCAGAAATTTTATGTTTAGAACCACCAACCCACGATTCTGGCAAAGGAGACAAAGAATCGCTTAAAAACCGTTCAAATTCTCTAACTTAACTAAAAAGAGAGCACAATTATCTGTCCTCGCCTTAGTCTATGGCCCTTCCTCTAACAAAACGCATTTGTTTTAATCCCAAGGCAGTTGCTTTAAGAACCACCACCTGCCTGCTCATGCTGCGTTTTTTTTTCCCCCTCAAGAAGGCATCTGCACTGCAGATCTTTGCACGAGGGGAGCCTGCCCGTCAGCTCCCACCAGCAGGCAGACGGCATACAATGGGAACGGAAGGCGGCCCGCAGCTTCCCTCCTAGACCTTCAGAGATGAGACGAGAAGGGGGCTCAACCAGCATCTGCTTTGTCTGGGTTTTTTCCCCCCTCCCCCCCTCACTGCAGCAAACGCCCCCTTTTGTTACACACTGCGATCAATAAATAACCCACAGCAAATACGAAACCCAAAACCTGTTTGATGGCTTGGCATAGCTCCCTATTTATTACCCTCCAGAATACAAACGACTGGTTGCTTCTTCCCACCCCCGCGCCGCGCCGGCTCAGAGCAGGTTGTGCTGCAGACGCGGCCCCGGATCCATCTTGGCCCATCCGCAGCAGTTCCCTCCCAAATCTCCCCCGACCTAGTCTCCTCCGAGAAATCGAGCATGCCACCAAAAATTAAAGGCCGAGGAGAACAGTAACGAAAAAGGTTAAACGTCCTCATCCTTCCCATAGCCAGTTAAAAGAAAAAAACAAACAAAAACTGAAGACTCTCATGAACGTCTGATTATGGCGATACCTGCCCTAACTAATTATTGCTCCTATCACCGACCTGCCCCAATCCTCTTTAGAGCCTCGGTCTCCCTAATCCGCCTCCACTAAATCCAGCCCGTTCAGAGGTCTGCACTCTCGTCTCTCTGAACTTGGTTCATCGCCTGCTTCTAGCAATTGTCCATTTAATCCCACTCTCCCCCGGACTGTTTTTCCCCACCGGCCATGTCTGGCCGTTAACGCCCACTCTCTAGAATACCTCCCCGCCCCCAACCTGTTTTCCTCGCCCCGTTATTTCCTCACGGCTTGCACGACCTTAGGCTCCCCTCCCCCTTTGCCCACTTTCCAAACGCCCATCCCGGGGGCCGGGGAAAATCCCTCCGTAATCGAGGGTAATTTGCCTGTCCTTCTCACTCTCCCGGGCCCCCCAACGCTGAGCCTCCAGCCCCGATCGTCCTCCCTCCCAAGGGCGAGGGCTCCCCGGCTCTCCTCACCGGCACAGGAGGAGCCGCAGCTCTTCGGCCCCAGGGCGGGGCAGGCTCCCGGGCTCCCGCCGCTGCCGGGCGCGGAGGGTTCGGCCCCAGAAGAAGACGAGGAAACGGACGGAGACTGAGTGGCCGCTGACGGCTCTGCCATGGCTGCGCGAGCAAGGGCCGGAGAGGGGTGAAGAGAGATGTGGGGCGGGAGAGAGGGAGGGGAAATAAAATAACCGGGCAGTTAGAGCTCCGAAGTCCCTTTGCTCCTGCTCGGAAGACAGACTCGGACTGACTCAACCAAGCCGAGAGGGAGGGGTAGAGTGGGAGCGCGCAGGCGCACAAAGAGCCCTCAAGCGTGCGGCGGGGGCGGCCGGAGGCAGAGCCCAGATGCCCAGCCGCTCAGAGCGCAGGCGCAAGAACTGTCCCTCAGCTCTCCCGCAGGGAAGGCGGACCAAAACTGACCTCACGCAGCTCCCCGCCGAAGTGGCCCGAGTGGGGCGCGCCACTCGGGAGCCAGACGCAAAGGGCGTGGCCATGCGCCAAACTCCGCCCACCTCTGCGGCCGAAGCGGGAAGGGTGCCCTGTGGGTATTTCCTCAAGTCTATTTACTCAACTATTTTAGGGTCGGCAGTTGATGTATTTTAATGAGAGAAGGTTCTTTTTGCTTCCATTAGATAGAGCATATCTTTACTATACATTCCAGAGCCGAGCCGATGTCATTTGTATAATACATTTCTACCTGAGACTATGAAAAGTGAAAATAGTGTTGAGTAGGCCCAGTCTGCAAGGTGCTTTATGAATTTATCTGGACATCATCACCACGCGGCAAAGAACGCACGGTCTCTTATCTGGTAGGTTGAAAAAGATGTTATGCAGAGTGAAAAACCTTTAGTCATTCCAATCACATTGCAATGCAGCCGCCAAACCTGCTTTTTATTCTTATCTCGAGCATGTTCCCAAAGAGGGGTCCACCTTAGGTCTTAAGCTTGTCCTTTCCTCTGAATAGGCTCTCAGATAGAGAAGACATATTTGGAAGGAAAAGAAGCTGAGCTGGTGAGGAAAGAAGAGCCAAGAGATGAGAACATCCTGGCTGTGACGATGAGGGAGGATAAAGTATTAAAAATCGAGAATATGGCACAAAATACGCATAAGTAAGTTTTATCTATAGCCTGTAAGGGGTGAATAAGGAGCTCTGGTGTCGTGCGTAAGGCGTTTGTTTGCTAACCAAAAGATCAATGGTTCAAACTCAACAGCTGCTCCCTGGGTGGAAGATAAGGCAATCGGCTTCAGTAAGGAACCCAACAGGGGTCGCTGTGGGTCGACTGGACTCCACGGCAGTGAGTTTCATTTTTTGATAAGGGGTCTGTAGCAGAAAATATATTTGAAACCAGACACCTTATACTGAATTTTGTTCATTTTTTGCTTCTCCTGGGTTGGCTTGCCAAATTCAAAGCTTTGTCTCTACATCTGGTCAAGGTGCTTAATTATTTTAAAAAGGAGAATACATTCAGGAAATAATAAAAATCAAGGCCGTAGGATTTGTTATTGCTAACGCAGCAATCAATGACCCGAAGAGCAATTGCTGGCTCTGCAGATCTTACAAAGATGCAACCTCATGGGGGGAGGGCCGAGGCAGCCCCGCAGCCAACAAGGGGAAAAGCGCTGGGACCAGAGGAAATCTTCTAGAACAGGCAGTGGACTCCATCTGCCCTTGACAGCTTTTAAGGTCAGGTAAAATCCAGACAGGGGGAAAAAAAAAAAAAAAAAACTCGTGGCCATTGCAGTGCTCTGAAAAAGGCCCGGAAGCGTAATTCCCAAAATAACTTTGCAGCAAGTACCTCACCCTGACATTTACAGCGTCGGTTGATACTGCAGCAGCAAACTGTCCCTTAGATGGCAAAGGGAAATACAAGCCAATTTGAGAACCAAACAGGTTGTATAGCCACACTGATAAATGAATGAAAATTCAGCATCATTCAGTGCTGGGTAGGGAAATAAGGGGTGCTGGTCCCTAACCATGATGATTGCTAGATTCTGGAAACCCTGGGCTGGCAAAGAAGCTCACTTCCATAGTGTCTAGAATCAGAGAAACAAACCAACCCATTACCATCGAGTTAATTCCAACTCATAGCAGCCCTAGAGGGCAGAGTGAAACTGCCCCACAAGGTTTCCAAGACCGTCATCTATGCAGGAGCAGAATCTTTCTACAGCAGAGCGGCTGGGGGGGTTTGAATCACTGCACCACCGGGCCTCCTGAGAAGCAGAGAAAAGAAGCTAAAAATGAAGATGTTGGTGTTTCCTTGGTGGTCTGTTCAGACCTTTCAGAGCTTTCTTTTCTGCCCCTGGAGCCTCCGTGTTGCATCCAGTTGCTGAAGCTGCCTCTCCTTCCTGCCTTCTTCCTGTGCTTGTCACCTTCCCGGGGACTGATGGGAGTCATCCTGCTTGGAATGCTTGCTTATCTGTACACATGATTTGTTACACTGATGCTTACTGACGACATGCTGTGTGTATAACACGGTCACAGGTACTCTGCAGGGATATAAAAATATGTGTATACAACCTGCTTGGGGCTTAGAACATACATAAAGCTAAATAGCACAAATTAAATGGAACCCCAGACAACCCCAAACAACACCAAACCAGTGCTACATCAGGTGGCAGGTGAGTAGCATGAATTTAAAAGAGGGGAGGGGTCCCTATGGAGTTATAGGAGCCCTGGAAGTTTTGATGAAGAAGCTCAAGGTTAAAAGACAGATAGGAAGGAGTTTGGAGTGGTATAAGGACGCCACTAAAGGTGGGAGGATGTGAAGCAAAAGCAGGAGTTACTTTTGTGCAAATACAGAGAAAGGCACCCCTCTGGGCAAATGAATCACAGAAACGCAACCCTTCTTCTAAGCCATGCTGCTGGCTTGTCTGGCAGAATTTGGCCTAGATTTCACTCCCTCTTGCCCCTCCCCTCCACAGGCTACCTCAGTGCAATACCCACACTGTACAACCATCTGTGATGACTGGAGGCTCTGAAGTGTGACTGTGTGTAGGGTATTTGGGGCACAGGAGACCAGGTGGGCTGGAGCTGGGGTCTTGAATTGGGACAAACCAAACCCCACTGCTGTCCACTCGATTCTGACTCATAGAACCCAATAGGACAGAGTAGAACTGCCCCATGGGGTTTCCAAGGCTATACATTTTTATGGAGACTGCCACATCTTTCTCTCCTGAAACGGCTGATGGACAAAACCACTGACCTTTTGGTTAGCAGCTGATTGCTTTTACTAATGTGCCACCAGGGCTCCTTCAACTGGGGACACGAGGGAGATAAAACGGGGAAGGAAAGTGGGGGCCAAAGTGTGGAGATCCGTTAATACCGTGTTATGCTAAGAAACTGAGACTCTGTCTTAGACCTAATGGGGATCGAGTGGAAGTGTTGAAGCAGGGAAGGGCTCAGATGGGATTTTTTCTTCTTTTTTAAATTTTATTTTTTTGTTGTTGAGAATGTACACAGTAAAACATACACCAATTCAACCGTATCTACAGGTAGGATTCAGTGACATTGGTGACTTTGAGTTGTGCGGCCATTCTCACCCCCTTTTTTGAGTTGTTCCTCTGCCGTGAATGTAAACTCCCTGCCCCCTGAACTTCCTGTCTACTCTTTGAGTTGCTGCTGACACTTGGATCCCATATGGAGAGTTCTAAAAAGAGCACGCGGCTCAAGGCAGACATTCTTTACACAGTAAGCTAGACTAGTGTTTGGTTTTAGGAAGACTTCAAAAGATGTTTCAAGATGATCTCAGGGGTCATTCTAATCTTCATTGCTCCAGAAAGTCTGAAGCCCATGAGAATTTCAAACTCTGTTCTACATTTTCCCCCTTTTGATCAGGATTCTTCTACAGTATGAAAACAAAACACCAAACTCACTGCTGTTGAGTTGGCTCCAACTCATAGCGAACCCTCCTTGGGTTTCCGAGGCAGCATCACTATAGAAGTAAATTGCCCAACCTTCCTTCCCAGGAGTGGCTGGTGGGTTTGAACTGCCAGCCTTCTGGTTAGCAGTCAAGTGCCCTGGGCACTATGCCACCAGAGCTCCCGCTTCTACAGGATCAGATGAAATTTTTAAAGCATTCACTGGACCATAACCACTTCTTTGGCCCTTATGTTATTGTCGTTTTAGGTGCCTGTTTGGGTTCTCTAGTGCTGCTCTAACAGAAAACACCACAAGTGGATGGCTGTAACAAATAGGGATTTATTCTCTTACAGTTTAGGAGGCTAGAAGTCCAAGTTCAATGTGCCAGCTCCAAGGGCTGGGTGAAGTCCCCTTGACCTTGGGCTTCAGTTCTGCCTCTTGCATGGGAGCTGTCCCTCAACTCAGGCAGCTGACGGCTGCTGAGGCTGACAAACCCAAGGTCGACAAGTAAAATGGCACAGTCCCAAGATTACCAAGCAACATGGCAGGCCACTAGTTCAAGTCCAGAGACAGTCTCAAGATCGGCAGACAACACAGCAGGTCACTCACTGATGACTCAGCCAAATGCAGGATCCAAATGTACTGAGAAGCTCAGAGACCTTTCTCAAAGCATCTTCTTATATACTGGAAGCAGACCTCATCCCTAAGGCAGACACTCAGCTGCTCACAGTAGACTCCAGCACGGAGTTCACTACCAGTCTCATCATGGGGAATAACTACATCCAGCTGCCCAGCCACTCAAAAGCAGGTGCAGCCAAGTTGACACACAACCTTAACTATCACACTGCTGTTGAGGTAATTGCAACTATTGCAACAGAGTGGAACTGCCCTGGAGGGTTTCCTAGGCTGAATCTTTATGGGAGCAGGTCACCAAGTCTTCCTCCCATGGAGCTGCTGGGTGGAACGGAACTGGCAATCTTTTGGTTCGTAGCCAAGTGCTTAACCATTTTACCACCAGGGCTCCTTTTGGCCCTTGTAGGACTGGGATTTACACAACTAATTTCCCACCTCAGCTTCTAAGCCATCTCATGACTCCATTTTATGTATGAACAATACAAGGCACCAATGTTTAAATGATGCCCAGGGATGTCAGTATTCCAGCCTTTCCCTCCAAGTAGGTGTTAGAGGAGAAGGCTGAACTGTGTCCCAGAATAGTCACCAAAAAGCCAAACCAAAACGTACTGCCCTTGAGTCATTCCGACTCATAGCGACCCCCACTGGGTTTCCAAGGCTATAAATCTTTATGGAAGCAGACTGCCACATCTTTCTTACACGGAGCAGCTGGTGGTTTCAAACCACTGGCCTTTACGGTTAGCAGCCAAATGCCTTAATCGCTATACCATGAGAGCTCCTTAGCATAGTCATAGCAAATGAGAATTATTTGCTTGGGTGTTTGTCCCACCCGCCTGTGAGCTCCTGAAGGACAGGAGTGTGTTGCTTGCATTATCGTAGCCTGAATGCCTGGTGCAGCGCTTAGCACATAAACAGGTCCCTTGCTTTTGGGAAGCTTTGCAGTCTCAGTGAATGCTTATTGCAGAAAACAATTTTACTCTTTTTATGCTTCATAAAATACTTCAGCATCTTGTTTTATGACTATTATGCTTTTCCAGAATGTAGAGAAGGAATTCCAGTTTTTGAGCAGGGAGCTCTGGTAGCATAGTGCCTAAGGCACTTGACTGCTAACCAAAAGGCTGGTGGTTCAAACCCACCAGCCACTCCTCAGAAGGAGGATGGGGCAATCTACTTCCATAGTGATGTTGTTGTTGTTGTTTGCTGTCAAGTCGCACCCGACTCACAGCGACCCCTCCTTGGGTTTCCGAGGCAGTATCACTACGTAAGTAGATTGCCCAACCTTCCTTCCGAGGAGTGGCTGGTGGGTTTGAACCGCCAGCCTTCTGGTTAGCAGTCAAGTGCCTTAGGCACTATGCTACCGGAGCTCCCTCCATAGTGATCATGCCTTGGAAACCCAAGGAGGGGTCGCTGTGAGTTGGGTCTGACTCAACGGCACATAACAACAACAACCATGCACTAGTCATCACTACCAAACACAACTCATTAACCTACAACAACTCTGTGACGTGGGTATAGGAATTATTTTGCAGATGATGAAACAGGTTCAGAAAGGTTACCAAACTCACCCAAGGTTGCACAGCTAGTGAGCATTAGAGCCAGAATTCAAAGCCAGGTCAGTCGGATCCCCCACTGTGTGGCCTTTACCGCTCAAACATGTCTTCATGTCACTTACTTCTGGATCACAAAGAAGGCTCAGCCTCCAGTCATATTACGCGATTCAATTCAGGGTGAAATGGCTGAAGGCAGAAAGGCTGTAACCAGTGCCATCAATATTTAGCATTTTGAATATTCTCTGTTGTGATAGCCCTGGATGTTTGAGAAGGAAGTAAAAGCAAGAACAACAACAAAAAGTATCTCATTTACGGGGGTTGCTTTAGAAGCTGTGACTAACCCTAAAGTCCACCTATAATTTGTACTGTGTTGTTCTAAATGTGGGGAAGCTTTTACAAGGTATGAGGAAGGCTGATGGGATGCCAACATGAACCTTGATAACGTCAGTGTATTGAGATCAATGTCAGTATTTGCTGGTCATTTCCAGACAGAATGAATTTCAGTGGGTGTTATTCTAAAACCAAACTCACTGCCATCCAGTCGACTCTGATTCCTAGTGACCCCTCCTTGAGTTTCTGAGGTGGTATCTCTACAGAAGTAGATTGCCCAGGCTTCCTTCCAAAATGTGGCTGGTGGGTTTGAACCGCCAGCCTTCTGGTTAGCAGCCAAATGCCTTAGGCACTACACCACCAGAGATTGAGAGCCCTTAAAATAGAACAAGACATTTTGTTCAAAAGCAAAAGTTAAGTACTTCATATTAAACGAATCATAAAGTGAGTGACCACCAGCCATCTGTCAGTTGGTCACACTGTGGTGGTTTGTGTGTTGCTGTAGTGCTAGAAGCTGTCTCCACCACTGATACTTTGGTGAAGTAGGGCAAGGGGGTCCTTGGTGAGATGGATTGGGACCATAGCCACAATGATGGACCGCAACATGCTGGTGATTGTGAGAACGATACAGGACTATTGTCCATCAAGTCTCCGTGAGTTGGAGTCAACTCAAGGGCAGCCAACAATAAAGTGAGTCACATCAAGTGTAATATACACCTTCTTTATTCATATAAACACATAAGCTCAACACATACTTGAGTCTCTACCATCTGCCTGGCAAGGTTTTGAGTTGCTGGAGATACAGCAGTAAATAAAATCCACAAAAATTCCTATCTTTTTTGAACTTATATTCTAACAGGAAGAGAAAAAAAGTAATAAGTAAAACATAAAAGGGCAAGAAGTCTTACAGAGAAAGTGAAGCAGGGAAGGTGCACAGGGAATCCTGGGGTATGAGGATCTTCAAAATATAACAATTTTGAATTCTTACACAGCATGTTTCAATTGTGACAAGTCATTGGCCTTTGGTCCCTCCTCTCTCTCTCTGAGAATATCATGTAACTCCTGGGTGTGTGTCACATCCTGTCGGTCCTGCCTTCTGCATACTCAGTGTGAATTCCCAGTAACCACTTGCGTTGATGTTCACTTCTAGTTTCTTGCTGGCTTTAGTTGGTCTAGGTCTAATGTAGACCCTTAAACCGAAAGCCTGCAGGGAGATGTTGAAATAGTGGAGAGTTTGAGTATCAGAAGGATAATGAAACAAACCAGAGACCTCCTTAAGTGGGATTGAGCAGAATTATCTTTTACTCTTCACCTTTGATCTAATCACTTGAGAAGTTAAACAAACAAACAAACAAACATACCTTAAAGGTTTGGCA